CTGTCTGTATGTATGCCTGCAAGCCAGAAGAGGGCACCAGACCTCATTACAGATGGTTGTGAGCCACCATGTGGTTGCTGGGAATTGAACTCAGGACCCCTGGAAGAGCAGTCAGTGCTCTTAACCTCTGAGCCATCTCTCCAGCCCCCAACGCTCAATTCATTTAAGTTGACTTAAAAATGTTTAGTGTAAAGATTAGTTGAGAATGTAATTTTAATTGAGATTAGGAAAAATAGTGGATCTACCAAAGAGAAAAGGAACAAAGCGATTGAGCTGACATCTGAAATGGTGTCCAAGCCCTCCCCTTCATGAAGCTAGTTAGCACAAGGGCCCTGTGTGTTCATACTGCTGTCCCCATGTGACACGGGCATGCGGTCACAACACCACACACACACACACACCTTTTGTGAGGCCTCTTGAGAAAGAACATCGTATTTCTCCTTAAAGGGGACATTCTTTTCCTCTGGAGGAGCGGCGTCTTCACCAGAACAGTTAGCATCACTGGCCCGGTAGAGCGGGTAGTGCTGTCCGGGATTAAAGTGGATCAGTGATACTCTCAGAAGCGTGGTCGGCTGGACTTAGCTTCCTCCCCAAGCTCACCTGCAGCAACACGGGGGCGGAAAAGGGGAGCCGCTGCTCACCTTCACACTGGCTGGATCCTTGCACCTGCTGGTCAGAAGTCACCCTGTTAACCCAGCAAACCCAGTGTTTGCCCTCGGGGAGAGGGATGGGGAGCTGGGCAACTGACAGCCAGGGCACGGCTGTGGCACCTTTGGAAGACACGAGTGCAGAGGCCTGTGCTGTTCCAATGGTCTCCTACCTCTCGGGAGCAATTCAGTTTACGAGAAATCTCTCTGAGTTCAGCTTCCGCTTCAGAGCAGATGCTACAACCATCCCCTTCCATGGCGACGCTGTTGACCATCACAAAACTGAGGCAGACAGGAGTGGGCAGAAGGTCAGGCCACTGGGCACGTGTGGGAGCCGCTTTTCCCACTGTCCCCATGGAAACAACATTATACATCCATAGAGTGAGGAAGCAGGCCCAAGAGCAGCTTAATCCTGGCTAAACTGACTGTAAGTTAATACTGGCAAAACAATAGCATTATATCCAAGATTCAGAAAAGCTGGGCTTATTTCTGTTGCTCCAAATGAAAGAAAGAACTGACTTGTAATTTGTGGAAAATCCTACACGACAGACAACCCCTCAAACCAGCATCCAGTTAGAAGCGTGTCCTTGGGCAAGCTCCTGTGCCTGTGTCTCACCTGTGCAAGCGAAGGGATGACCAGAAAGCCTACATCACCTGGATGCTTGGATAATCCCTAACCAAGATGGTAAAGTCAAGAATGGCTAGACTCTGCCTTTGTCACATTTTAATGGACTCCCACGGAAAAAACGCTTTTATGTCCTGTGCAAATAGCAGCTGGGTATGGGAAAGGTACTTGTCAGCAAACTGGTTAAAATGTAACCAGTTTCTGGTATAGGGAACTGAAGTGACCTGAAATCTGGCAAGCATGTCTGAAGCACTACAGTTCGGCAGAAGCCACTCAGGGACGTCAGTCCCATGGCTACACAAAGGAAGGTATTGCTGGAGACTGCCCTGTGCCCGCAGCAGGGTTATGAAAGAGGGGTACTGGTGAAAAGCCATGCTACTTTCACCACCAGCTCCTTACAGTGAGGGTCTCACTGTGTCGCCATCAGCAGAGTTGTGGGACCACAGAGGGACAGGACTGAAAAGAAGAGGTTCCCTCCACTGTGTGGACTAGAGCAGAGCACACAGTCCCGGAAGTTGTACTGGCCAACAACACAGAATAGGTCCAGAGTGCCCCTGCTTTTGGGGATGTGGGCATCCAATAACCAGACTAAGAGCTAGGCTGCTCTCTTCGAAAGGTTAAAGCTGATGAACTAGGAAGTTAGAGAGTGTTACAGAACATTTGACACACTTGGCACCAAGTGCCAGGATATCATACCTATCGGAGTGACCTTTGTAAAATGGTACCAATACATTTGGATCAAATGAGACAGTGCTTCACGATGCACACAGTGGCAGGAGCCTACAGTCCCAGCTCAGGAGTTTGCCACCGCATGGACAACATAGCAAGACCCTGGCTGCAAAAGCAAAACAAAAAGAGCCAGAAAAGCACCCTGACAAAGTGGGTTGCTGAATGTCTAACAGTTGGGACAGTGCAGACAATGCCACACCCACAGTGAACAGGCAGAGTCGTAGACTGATTTGTTCATTGTGGCTGGTTCTAAGTTTCCTATCTGTCAATTGCCACAGTGACCATCAAGCAAGCAAGGTACCAAGTATCACAGGACACAGGCCTGACCATATGGCAACCACCTTTGAACTACGATGGATTTGAGCTGGGATCACCGTTCAGCGGAAGGGTCTCAGGCTCTGGGATCCACCCCCAGCGCCTCATCTTTTTAAAAAAAAAAATGTTTCATAAGAATTCGTAGATAATACTCACTTAATTCCTTTCCAAGAGAAGAGCCTTTCTGAGCTGAATACTTCTTCAAATCGTTTTATTCTGTATTTACTCATCCTGTATCCAATTATAAAAAAAAAAAACCTTTTCAGGCCAAGCTGTCTTAGCACTGTGACGTTACCATGAATATGAAAAATAGCTTCCACAATCTGGCATTTATAACTGGTCTCAGGCAATTGAGGCTCAAAGGTCAGGTCCACTGTTTATTGGGGGGTAGGGGGGTGAATTACTGGGACCTCAGTGGGACAATAGGCAAAAGAGCATGGAGAAGCTGGTACACAGAAAGTACTTAAACTATCTGCCACAGAAGTATCATAGCACACATAGTGTGAGCTAGCCAGCGGTGTGTGGACTTATATTCTGACTTCAATAACAGTTTGACATGAAGTGTCCATTTTCATCCAGAGGTTGAAGGCAGGAGGACGCAAGTTTGAAGGTCAGACTAAATAAATAAATAAATGAATGAATAAATAAATAAATAAATAAATCGCCAAGTGTGGTGACTCTTTCAATCCCCTCACTTGGGAGCAGAGGCAGGCAGAGTTTGGGGTCAGCCCGGCCTGCATAGTGAGTTCCAGGGCAGCCTGAGCTACACAGTGAAACCCTGCCTCAAAAAATAATAAATAAAAATATTTAATTAAGGCCGGGCGGTGGTGGCGCACGCCTTTAACCCCAGCACTCGGGAGGCAGAGGCAGGCGGATCTCTGTGAGTTCGAGGCCAGCCTGATCTACAAGAGCTAGTTCCAGGACAGGAACCAAAATAAAAAA